ACAAAAAAAAAGTTCAGATGTTCATAGATGTTATGTTGATATGTAGAGAACCCTTCGATTCCTTGATGTAATTGCAAACTAACATTAATATCCAATTAGAAAGAGATACATTGCACATACCTTGCATACGGGTACATCATGACAACTTTTAGTTTTACTAGCTTAATTTTTTTAAAGTGTTTTGCATTGACCTGACTCTGCTCATATTGAAGTTGATAGTAAAACTTCCACTCTTTTAAGATAATCCTATATATTTCCAGTTGCCTTATACCTGTTTATTTTGTGTTCTCTCTCTCCTTGAACAGAGTTTAAACAGAAAGGTAATGTCCTTACAATGCACTACTAGACGACTTACCCGCCGTTGCTTGGGTCCTTCAGGGAAGGAGGTTGGCAGTGTGGGAGGGTGCAGGAGTCAGGAGAGGAGGCCAGAGGTGTGGGGGAGAGCAGAAGAGGCCGCCAGGGGCTCTCTCCTTCCCCCTTTGCTCCCGGGGTAGGGGCCTGGGAGCTCTCTTCCCCTCCCAGGCCACCAGGGACTTTCTCCCTTCCGCCGACCCCTCCAGGGCATGCTATCTCCCTCCCTCCTGGCCCCTCTTGTGCCAGGAGGAAGGAGGAATATTCTTTCAGTGAAAACGTTCTTGTGCAAAACCACATATAATAAAAATGTCTGTTCATTAAGGCATGTACTGTAATTCTTAAAATAAGAACATTTTTACTTTATAGTAGCAAGATGGAAATTTATGATGAAAAACTTATTAGAAATTATTAAATCAATAAAATAATGCAATTCTTATATGGCTTTAATTATTTTCTGTAACTTTGTACTTTACTTCCAAGGGGACAATCTGTTATCTTCTAAAGGAACTCAATATATGACAGACAACAGTCAGAAATAATTGGACAATATTGAATCCCAAGCTTATATGAAATGATGAATCTTTTGAAATAACTTCACAATTAGAAAATTATAGACGAGGGGAAGGAAGATGGAACAGTAATCCACATTATAAAAATTCTGTTAAAAGGAGCACTGTAGAATGTGCTTTGATTGAGATATATATATGGACTGAGCTGTCAATTGATGGATCTCATGACTAAGCCAATTGTTGATTGGCAAAGCTGATTACAGATGTCACATAAAAATTCACCATCTGTGGGTGTTGTGCATACAGTACTTTTCGGATGCTACACTAATGCTTATACTGACTACCAACAGAGCGCTTTCCATGAACAAGCTGGCTATAGAAGACCAACTTTGGTATTCGTGTATCATCCATCCTCATGACATGACCAATCCAGAACTTTTTTCATAAGCATTGCTTCCAGGCCCATGACACCACACAGCTTAATGATCTCCGTGTTAGGAATTTCATCCCACCAATTCACATGGAGACACTTCCTCAGGCAGCATGTATTCAACAGGATATTCAGAACAACTGCCTGATAGACTTCATATGAAGGTAACAGTTTAACACCATGGTCATTCCATAAGCATTTGGTCAATCTTCTGAAGGCAGTGCAAGCTTTGACTAATCTAGATGTCATCATCATTTATGCTGAAGGACAGTACATTTCCAAGATAGCAAAACCTATTAACAGCCTTAAGGACAGTACTTAGCAGCAGCAATGATCACTGGAATGCTGGGCTCTTTCTGAACAGACTCAGACATAACCGCTGTCTTCTTGAGGCTTATAATAAGTCCATAACAGTGAGCAGGAATAGCAAAAGGATCAAAAAGGATCATGGGCATCCTTGACTGAATGAGCCATGAATGTACAGTCATTCGCAAACAGGAGGTCTTGGATAGTTGTAGTGAACACCCTGATGCAAGCCTGAAGTCTTCAGATGTTGAAAATGCTACTGTCTGTTTGAAACTGAATAGGTATGCCCAACACACAATCCTTGAAAGGATCTAACACCCTGGTCGAAAAGTAAATGCTGAACAGGAGAGGAGCAAGAAAACATCCTTGTTTTGTACCATTTGATACTTCAAAATTATGTGCTGATGTCTCTCCATTGTTAAGGATACAACCCAGCATACCGTTATGAAAGGACTGAAATACAAAAATTTCAGAACAGCTGATTTGCCCAAGTACTTTCCAAATAGGGATGTAAGCAACTAGTTGAAATAGTAAATGCTGAACAGGAGAGGAGCAAGAAAACATCCTTGTTTTGTACCATTTGATACTTCAAAATTATGTGCTGATGTCTCTCCATTGTTAAGGATACAACCCAGCATACCGTTATGAAAGGACTGAAATACAAAAATTTCAGAACAGCTGATTTGCCCAAGTACTTTCCAAATAGGGATGTAAGCAACTAGTTGAAATA